CTTGCCAAGACGTACGCTCTTCATGGATGGATCCTCCGGGAAAAGCGACCTTAGGACTGCAACGAGGGGCTCAGCCAACGACAAAGCCAGGGCATGCTCAGCCAAAAACGCACAAACTCGGAGTTTGATTATTTTAGCTGTTGAATTGCTCCACAATGTTGATAGTGGCTTGTGCACATTACTCCTTAGCCTATTTTCTTCGTGCTTCGTTGTCCTTGCATGACGTTTTATCCCTGTTTTTGAACAGGTTACATCACACCCACATGGGATACAGTATGAAGTTAGTTTTCCATCTTTCCCAACTCGCTTTGACAGCCATCCTTTGAATTCACACATTTGCAACCATCCATGAACAAACGATTGAGCTTTCTTCTTCCTCTTCGCTAAAGGTGGACCTGACACTGCATCCTTCTTTGTATTTTCAGGGTCCGTAGAAGAATCAGACGAAATTTTTTCTGAGTCAACCATGACAGTACGATACAGCGCTGCGGAAATTTGCTAGAGCAAGACTTTGAGAACTGTTCATCTTGAAGGTCGGTGTAAATAGAAGTATGCGCTTCGGTATCCCGTGCAAAAGTTAAACATTGTGCTGTGAGAAGCAATGTGTTACAAATCATGGGGTCTTATCATGGTGCTGTGATGTTAGAACACAATATGCGTTACTGATGGAACACAGTGCTCACTTGTCAAGCAGGCAAACATTAGAGGTGCCACCATTTGCATTTCCTAGATAAGGGAAATCAGAGCACCTCTTGAAATTAGCACCTCCTGTGTCAAAATTAGTTAGATTGCTCTTTACATACTAGGCAATGGGGGCCAGACTGGAATTCCATCTTTCATTTAAACTATTTGGTACATTTTTGCAGAAGCAAAATTGTCATGAGTTTGTGTACCCAGAACAAAATTAAAGGCATTGAGTCATGGTAAATAGGCTTTCTCTATAGGGGGCCATTTGGTTTCGGCGTGATCGCTGCTGTTTCATGTGATATTGGCAACCGTTGTTGACAACTTGCTATTGATGGAAACTGTTTTGGTAATCAGTACGAGGTGAGTTCATGTGACCAGTTCAAGGTCAACCAATAGCATCGCAGTCATGGAAATCATGACTTAGCGGATTTTGGCAATCTGGGTATACCCAGTCTATTTATCATGACTCAATGCCTTTAATAAAGCTACCGAAAAGGTAGAGCCTTTTTTCAAAATCTTTTATAATGATTGTTAAATTTTCCCTTGGTCCTTCCCCTTTCCAACCTGCATCGGAGCCCATGCTTGCTATTAAAAAAGTGTAGATAAATATACACGTTTTAAGAAGGTTATTTTTCTAGATACCTGTAAGCCCAAAACATTTAAGAAGCTTACTAAAGACAGAATCCCTAATTAACTTTTCAATTTTGAGTATCTTCATCAATGCAAACAATCGAGAATTAGGAAATCGTTTCCATTCATTTGCGTAAAACTCGCATAAATTGTGATGTGCGTGTGTCAAGTGTTTCAGGAAGAGGTTTCCATCGAAACTCGCGTACAATGTCGCTGAAAAAAATGATCCTCTTGACATACTTTGGTTACACTGTCACACATAATTTATCATAAAAGCGGCTCACTTGACTAAAAGCGACTCAGCTTGGTCCGGTCACAGGTCCTTGTCGTTCCCGGAGTGAAAATAGGATTCACTGCTTATCGGTTGGAGGTGTTAATTTACTTTCTCCGTACAAGCACGAGCGAAGAGAAAACTCTGACAGACAAACAATGACAAACAACTTTTTAGTAATTTTCTTTATATTCTGTCATATTTCCATAAAATCCTCCCAATTTCTTAAAAAATCCTTCCAAATTCCTTCTAATTTGTAAATCCTTCTTTTATTCTTTCAATCAACCAAAAATTCCGAAAAAAGGATAAATCCTTCCAAGTGGAAGCACTGGGTTTTGTTGACAGTGAAGATGTAAGTGGGAATGTTTTTCCAGGGGATTGGAGAGAGTCAGTGAGCATTGAAGACTCTGGGATGACAAATTTGACTTTGCCTAAAAGAAACCAATATAAATTTACCGCTGGAAACATAAGAAACAAGTTGAAAGATTATTTTAATAGTGCAAGCGGGCAGGTTTCTTGGCAGATAGAGAGAATGTGGAAAAATCAATGCTCCTTTTTAAAAACATGAAACAGTACAAACATAGTTGTGAATAACAGTTATAATAATAATGTTTTAAATTATATAATAATCATGTTATAAAAACAGCAACAGCAACAATACTTATAATAACAATAATAATGCTAATTGCACCAATTTTACGTTTACAAGGAAAGAAATGATTTAAAATCAACAGATTCAGGTCCTTTCTGAGTATACTGTGTAGAATTTAGAGGGTAAGTAGGCTGTGTTACGCAAAATTGATCACAGGCTGGCAAGGTATTACTTCCATAATGTTGTGCTGCTGCACCCCTTCAATAGGGCTGGAAAATTCTGCCTGAAAAAACATCTGCTCTTAGCATAGCCTGTTTCACAGGAGAAAGACGCTTTATCCAGGGAATAAGGCTTCTGCAAAACAAAGCAGCTTCATCATTGTCATCAGCTGCATCTCTTCCATCCTTGTTATTCTCTCTTTAAAAGGAATTTGACATGCATAAGTACAGCGAATCCAAAATAACTTTTATCGAATTGATCAGAGCACCCGCACAAGAAAGGAATTGGAAACTGCTCACGTGAAAACTCTGCGCGATGCTCTAGGATGTCACCGATTTGCAGAAAGGCGGAAACTGTTCACATATTTTTCTCTGTGCACAATTTGATTGTTCAAAACCGCTCGTGGTCGAGTGGCTATAAACCACTTTTACCTGTGTCGAATGCCTTCAAAATGCTCTCCAATTTGCATCGCAGTACTGATAAGTGTGATGTTCACATCTTTCTTTCAAGGGGATTATTGTAGTTACTCCAGTTTCTGCACTAACGTTTCGCTTCAGTATTCTTGCTTCTTTTTCTTGGTAGGTTAATGCAGGTTAGGTCATCTTTCGCTATCCCAGCATTTTCCATTCCATCGATCACCTCCATATTACCAACATCATCATTAGCCTCGTCCTTATGACTACCATCGTCTATTTGTCCTTCATCGTCGCATTGCGGCTTTCCAACGCCCTCGTCCTCATGGTTGTCATTCTCCATCTCTGTCACAATGCTTTCCACGACAAAGGAACTTGAATTGCTTTCTGAGGTTGTCGATGCTTCAGAATGGCGGGCGCTGGAAGAGGTTGATGAAGCCAAGAGATTGTAAAAGGATATTTGCACGTAAGATAAACACGGCAGCCGATTTGTGTTTCTTTGCCTCCATTTTGTTGGCGTGAGTGAAAAGTCGAGTGAAAAATCGAGCGAGAGATCGAATCGTTTGGCCAAGGTTACGGCTCTTGCGTAATTCTTCAGTTCGAGTTACAGTCCAGTTAGAGCTGTGGAGATAGTGTTCGCGACATGCGAGTAAGGTCGTTAGACTGGAAGTTCGACAATTAAGCTATGATTGTAAATATACGTTGTAAATAGTTTTACATGAGTTGGAGTTAGATTTACACGCTTTTTTAATAAGGCCTAGTTCCAAAAGTTCCTTATTCGTATACCTGAAATCATCAAATTGTACACTTACGTTCAAACAGAATTGGGACGAATTCGATAAACGAATTATGGCGTTCAGTTGGATTCGGTTTTGCAACGGAAACTTTTTCAGATTTGGGCAGTCTTTCTACAAATAATCTAGGCCTACGTTTCCCCAAAATGAAATAAAAAGTTAAGAAAATGCTTCAACTTATGAAGCATAACCACGAAAACACAGGATTCTTTCGATTTTTCTGATTATAACAACAAAATATGCAGAAGGGTTGTATGGCCTAACAATGGCAAAGTCACATGACCTTCCAAAAAGTTTAGAGCTGTCCAAACAAATATAACTTTTTAATTTCACGTTTGCATAACAAAAAAAACTATGAAAGAAATTATAAGATCAAACTTTTAAGCTTCAAAAAAAGTTTACTTCATCGACGGAAATGCTACAATTTTATTAAATTATTGCATTTATTCAAGCTACTTTTAAAATTGCGTAACATTCAAGGAGAAGCCATTTTGCTCATCGTCGATGATTAATTTTTGCTTTTAGAGAGCATTTTCTTCTCATAACGCTGGAAAATTTGTGTTTTTCATGACTTTTATAGCCATGTTTTTGCTTATGTTCCATTATTTAGCTTCTTTCTACATGACAACATGATGTCTGGTAAGGATTCAAACCAATTACTTCGCAGTTCCTTCAGAAATGACCTTTCGTCCCTCGGCGTCGTAAACTTCTTCTGTCTGACAAACCTTAGTAAATCTTCTACTGTTCTTGTACGGAAAAACGTTTTACACACTACCTATTAATAGTACCTCTTTATTGCAAGGTTTGATGAAGGCGGCCACATTTGAGAGACTGCCGGAAAATGGGTCTGGGTTATTGTCAACATCGACTGAGATTCAGAACCAAGGTATACCTAGGCACAACAGACACATTCTATCACAATTTTGCTCGACAGCTCTATTTGGTTTGATTATACAGGACCCACGCCACTGGGGGGGGGGAGGGGCCACTTTTGCAAAGCAAGTAGTTTTGAAGCTGCAGTAAAAAAGGAAAAGCCTTGCTCCTTACTTTTGCTAGCCTTGGCCCTCCACTTTCAAATTCGTGCGTAGGCCCTGCTATAACATGAAGATTGGACAACTTTTAAGCGCCAGAACTTGAACACTGTTTGAATGCAGACGGGAAGTGGATAGCCTTTTTTATCTTCCAAAGCATGACTTTTCTACCAAATCATGATCAATTTTTTGAATAAACAACTTAACTTTGAGGTAATTCTTGAAGCAAATTAACTGGCAGATGCTTAACAATCAACTGAGCCAGGCTCACCAGTGTTCGAAGTGAATTAATAATTCTGATTTTATGATAGGAAGCGTTGAACTATCAAACGAAACAAGAAATAATGAATAGAAAAAGCAAACCTGCTTTAATAGCAAATCCTTTTTGGAATCAAACAGATCTCGGATTTCAAAATCATCTTCAATAACTTCAACCGAAAAACTTTCCTCAAATGAAAGTTTATGGAGTGCCATACTTAGAAAACCCTCTTGCCTTGCCAATGAGTGAATGACGCCCAGCTCTTACAACCTTGATAATCCGCTAATTACGGGAGATGAATCATGCACGTCTTCCACTAGCCCACTGTTATCAACGCGCAAGTGCTATGACCCCGGAACACTAAAGCCTATGGCGCGCCGTTGCGGCAAAAAATGATTAATTTTTGTGTATGCAGTTTTAAAAAAAGGTGCATGCAGTTTTGAAAAAATGTGAATGCACATTCAAAAAATTGTTTATGCACAGTCAAAAAATTGTATAGGCTCCAGTTACACTATACCGGATTGCTATCGGAGCGGAGTAATTTTCATATCGGATAGGGGTTTGAGTTACACTACGCCACATCAATCCGGTACACAACGCTCTGATTAGCGGAGTGAAAATCACTCCGCTCTGGAGGTGATACGGAAATTATTCCGGAGTCACTCCGTAGCGGAGCGTTGTAGTGTAATCGCACGAATCCGATATGCTCCACTTTAAAACAAAGGATTTTCTTATTGCTTTCTGCTTGACGCAATTCGATCGATAGTGAACAATGGCGCTTTCTGAGATTTTGTTGTTGTTGGATAATGCAAAGTCGAAATCATCAAAACATTTTTGTATTTGGATTTCATCTCTTCCCAAATTTTAATGAAGTGGCCCTTGGGCGAAAAACATACTTTAACACATCAGATAGCAACACAATCTCGCTATCCGTCCTACGAACCCCATCATTTATCTCTCAATTTAATGGTTGTTTTAGTTTTTTTATGCATAGCTATTGAAAACGAATTCGCAACAGCAGATTCGAAAATATCATCAAAAAATTTAATCTGGTGGATTTTCTGTTCCAGAAATACAAAGGATTACAGGTTTATGAGCGAGCGGATCGTCGTAGTGTAACTGCTACCCTAAATATCACTCCGGAGCAAAAGTTACTCCGCTCTGCTCCGCTCTGCTCCGCTCTGCTCCGCTCTGCTCCGCTCTGTTCCGCTCCGATAGCAATCCGGTATAGCGTATCAGGGCCTGAAAACCGTTCTTTAAAAAAACGTGTTTTCAATCAGGGGTGCTAGAAGCACGGGGGTAGCTGCCCCTCCTGCCCTGACTCTACGGGGACAGCGGGGGCAGCACTGTGCCTTTGCGAAATTGGAACTGTGTTTTTGTGAATAGAATAGATGTATAAAATCTCAAGTTCTTCTGTGAGAATTGAATAAGCCCTATTTTTAACACGGATGTGCCATTTTGGTTGAAAAATTAGGACATATAATTCTGAAAAAAAGTGACCCATAATTTCGCACAGGGACGCCTGCAAAA